GTGTGTGTGTGTGTGTGTGTGTGTGTGTGTGTGTGTGTGTGTGTGTGAGAGAGTGAGTGGGATCAGTTTGTTTGTGTGCATCATTTGCTGATGATGTACCTCTGATGACTACAAATGGCTGTTTTGGACTGTGTGCATTGCATTGCTTCTTTAAACACAGATCTGTGTAGTTGCTGGTGTCAGCTGTGTGAGTGTGTGTATAATTTGGTTTGTCACCCCTTATAGTAATGGCTGTTTTGGTGATTTGTGTGCGTTTGCTAGCTTGTACAATCTTTACATTATGTGTGTGAGTTTTGATTTATTCGCTGTGTATTGGAAGAACACTGATGGCAATTAAGCGACTGTGTTGTTTTTCCTTCTGGATGTTGAAACGAAGCAGGAGGGGAGTTAAAAATAGCGTGTTATGCCGGAGTAGAACACAGTGTGTGCATGTTTGAGTGCGATGAGACGCCATCCTGTTAGACGCAGAGTGTCCAAACTGTGCGAGCCGTTAGCCTACTAGCCCACTTCTTCTTGGACAGTGTCAAACACTCTCTCCTCTCTGAGACGATGAATCGAAGAGGTGTTACGCAAGTGAAAGAGAAGGGGATGCAGGGGAATGTTTAAAAAGAGAAAATGGGGGATGACGAGTTGAGAAAAGGCAAAGGGGAAGAGAGGAGAGACAATCATGTGTATCTGAAAGAAGTGTGTGTACGGGTGAAGTCTCTAGACACTATCACTACCTCATTAGCTCCCTTTGTGATAGTTTAATATCTACTCTATTGGCTTCCTGGATTGTCCTCCATACACTCTATCTTGGAATCATGATTAACCAACATGAGGACAAGGCTTCACCACACCCTACACATCTGTTGTTAAGATGCTCACCCTGCATTACACCGCCTAGCATGTTCAGCATATGCTGATATATGCTAATATATGCTAATTGGACACTGATTATAATCAAATCTAATAGTCCTGTCCTTGTATTTCTAAGAAACTATCCCCACTGTGACAATAAGTCTTTATGTAGGTCCTCGCTTGATAATTACTCCACCAAGTCAATTGAACCTGGAGACACAAACATCTGCACACTCAAGACACCCCCCCACCAATCACAATGGACCATTCCAGGTCTATTATCTTAGTCCAGTCCATTGGCCCAGTCCATGTCCTTGAAGGGGACGTTGATGGACTGTGAGGTTTCTCTGATAGCAGAGAGCCAATTAGTAGCTGCCTGTTTTAGTCTTTGTGAAATAATGAGAAACAAACCAAAATACATGGAAACAATAAACCAAAGTCCTTTTTGTCAAATATCATTTTATGTTTTTATCAATGGCCGGTGACTGACGAGCATTAAGACTGGAAACATTCTGTCCAAAGGGAACAAAGTCCACCTAGCAGCACCTGTAAGGCTCATTTATTAACCTCTTATACCTTAATTGTTGAATCAGCATAAAACTCAAGTTCTGTATTTGATGACAATAAAACTAGGGCAATAAAAACATAATAGCTAAGATAAAATCTGTGTAGAGAAGCAGGTCTTTTTTTATCCATTACCTCACTTCTTTGCTCTACTTTTGTGTTTCTGTCTCTTTGCTCCTCGGAGTCATCTTCTACTTCCCTTCCCACACAGCACTTTGAAAAGTAGCACTCAAAACACCTGGGAACACTGTTTTTGTTATTTTCGTCTGTATTTGTTGAAATGTTCAGGCTTTTGTTGAGGTTACTGTTCATCTTTTCTGTTGTGGATTATCATGTTGGAAGAGCTTTTAAATCTCGTGCTGTAGAGCAGGTTAGAGGCTGGTCTTCTTGTCGGCAGTGCCTTTTGTTTACAGGACGCTTACTAATATTTCAAAATTGCAGTCGTGATTTATTGATTCCAAGATGCTGCGCCTGTTATCGCTAGACCCTTAAACATAAGTCCCATTCAAAAAGATACACCAGCCAATGACTGCAGGATGAAGGTCGCTCGTCTTCAAGTGAGACGCTGTGCTCACCAAGGCCATTCAAGGTTGCCCGCTGCCATTTGCCGGTTCTCCCGCCAGATAGAAAAGAGGAGTGGGCAGTATTGTCATGTAAAGCCAGAGATTAGTGTACAGCACCTGATGCTCTCACACTGCCATGTTGTTCGTCTGACCAGCAGTTTCTAGTCTAATTAAAACTGAGGATGAGCTTTGTCGTCACCATGAAATAGGCAACAGTTGCTTATTACATTAGGGCAAACGGGGTGAATCCACATGCTTTCGCAGTCGAATGAAGATGGGACATTTTCGCTGGTCTCTGTGATTTTGGGATAATAGATATGCAGTCATTGAAGCATACGGGAACATTGCTGCGGGCTGAAAACACAGGCCGCTCCATCAGCTGGTGCAAAGAAGAGGCTTGAATTTGTTACACTTTTAACATACCGGCTAAAAGGCAGTTACGGGACGCCATCCTTTGTCAATCTCTTTGTCATCGTGTGGACACTTTTCATGGCCAAAAGAGATGCAGACAGAGGGGGTTTGAGCATGTGGAGGGAGGTATATCCAGCTCCCAGGAGAACAATGTGGATGTCATTAGAGGACACGACTGGAGTGGTTTTCCTCCCCGAAAGAATATAAATCACCCTGGTCAACAGAAAATGATATTCTAATCCTAATCATTTATTTATGTGGGCTCTTCATCTGTGAGAAGTGTGCCTCGCTTTAACGTGGAAGTGTGCGTCCAGGGGATGTGTGTGCACATTAGCATGTCTGTGTTCATCTGTCAGGGGAATGCACCCAGCAGATTGTGTATTATCATGTTAATGCAGAGGCACAAATTGGACCGCGACCTCTCAGGGTTTATTGAATTTAATGGATTCCAATTACAGATGTATCGCTTGCTGTGTTTTTGTGTGCTGTGTTTTTGGTCGAACAAGAATCCGCTTTTATATTTTCATCTAATTAACGTCTCAAATAGCAGTTATTTTGCTTTTTAGCTGCATCTTTCTGACAGTTTATCATCTGCAGGTGTTATTGAAAATTAGAGAGGAACCTATGTAGAGCGAGCGTTGAATTTTCCAACCTGGCTGTCTTTCATCTCTGTGTGTGTGTGTGTGTGTGTGTGTGTGTGTGTGTGTGTGTGTGTGT